TGCAGAGGAGAGAGCACAAGGGAGGCTTTGGGGAGAGGTGTTCCGTGTGAAGGGTGCTGTCTTTTCCTCTCCGTCCCCACCGGGGCTGGAGGGCAGCAGAGCTCGGTGACAGCGGCCGGGTGTGGTTGACCCCTGCAAGCTCATCGTCAGTGACCCCGGCCCAGCTCCTCCAGCAGGTGGGCGTGGCACCAGCTCGGATACGACACCCCTCTGGCAAGACCGCTCGGCCTCACAAATGGGGGTGGCCCCCCAGGCACCCGCACCTGCTGTGGCCGCAGAGCTGCCCCTGGCACACAGGCAGCAGCGGGCACGCTCAGGGTGCGCAGAAAGGGGACCAGATCCGGCCTGTGAAGGAGCGGAGCCAAGGGCAGTGGGGGACTTGCCTGGTCAAGGAGAAGCAGCTGGAAGGCAAGAGAGAGTCTGTGGGCCTGGGACGGGGCGCGGCCTCTCCCCACCTGGATCTGCGCTCCCCGCAGGCCCTCTCACAGACGGCACGGGCGGGGGGACCCAGGAGCTCCCTGCTTCCCCGGGTCCGGCTTTCAGGCTCACCCCCATCGGCCCCGCGTGGGCAAGCTGCTGGCCTTTAAAGCAGTCGCAGAGACCGAGGGTTAAGGGATTTGCTGAGAGGTCAGGATGCACCTGCCCGCACCCACCCCAGCGGGAGGGCAGCGGGGAGGCCGCACCACCCGGAGAGCGTCATGGGCCACCGCCGGGAGCGGGGCTTCTCAGAGTGAAAGTGGACCCTGCCCTCCTGGCTGCAGAGACGCGCCAGGCAGGCCACATAAAACAGGTGTCCCATCCCCGGGTCCCGTGGCTCATCCACGTCTGACCGGAACGCGGAGGTCACGTGTCCTCCGGGCTGGTGTGGTTCCCGTCCGCTGTCGCTAAGAGCTGTGCACGCTGGGTGGTCGCCCCGCCTGGACAACCAGACGCATTCTCTGGGTACTGGGGGGGGGGTGTGAACGTGTCACCCCAGTGTCCCCGCATAAGAAGCTTTAATTGGGGTCATTTCTCCTGGATGTGAGGCGCCTGCCCCTTACTGTAAACCGGGGGGCGGGCAGAAGCAGCCCAGGTCACACCCCCGCACCCGCCCCCCGCCAGGGAAAACTGCTGTTGTAATGTCCGTGCACACCCCCATGTGGGTTTTTTTTTTTTTAATAGACTTTGTTTTTTTTTAAGCGATTTTAGGTTCACAGAAAAATTAAGGGGAAGGTACAGAGATTGTCTATGTGCTCGTATACAGTCTGGTTTTGACAAAGATTTTTTTTTTCATTTTTTAATGGTTATTTAATTTTGAGCAGAGGGAGAGAGAGAGAGAGAGAGCGCGCGCACCTGCGCGTGCATAAGTGGGGGAGGGGCAGAGAGAGGGAGACACAGAATCCGAAGCAGGTTCCAGGCTCCGAGCTGCCAGTACGGAGCCTGATGCAGGGCTCGAACTCATGAACCGTAAGATCATGACCTGAGCCGAAGTCGGATGCTCGACTGACTGAGCCCCCCCCCCCAGGCGCCCCAAGATTTGAGATCATCTTATGGTGGGAATCCCACGGTGTGTAGGCTTTTCAGGTTGGCTGTTTTCACTTATTAATACACTTTGACGTTTCCTCCATGACTTTTCATGGCTTCATGGCTAACTTTTTAAAACTGTTAAATAATATTCCATCTTACGTGTTTTAATTGGCTTTAGAAGTTCAATTACAGGGGCCCTTGGGTGGCTCAGTCGGTTGGGTGTCTGACTTCCGTTCAGGTCATGATCTTGCGGTTCGTGAGTTCAAGCCCCGCATCGGGCTCGTTGCTGTCGGCACAGAGCTGGCTTTAGACCCTCTGTCCCCTTCTCTCTCTGCCCCTCCTCTGCTTGTGCTCTCTCAAAAATAAATAAAACATTAAAAAAAAAGTTCATTTACAGCATTTTTGTAGTGGCAAAAAATCAGGAACAACTCAAACATCTGATGTGAGGTCTTGTAAATGATTTATAGTACTCTATCATCAAGAGAGTAAGGGGGGGAGGGGGCGCCTGGGTGGCTCACTCAGTTAAGCGTCCGACTTCAGCTCAGGTCATGATCTCACAATTCATGAGTTCGAGCCCCGCATCGGGCTCTGCGCTGACAGCTTAGAGCCTGGAGCCTGCTTCAAATTCTGTCTCTCTCTCTCTCTCTCTCTCTGCTCCTCCCCTGCTCATGTTCTGTCTCTCTCTCTCTCAGAAATAAAAATGAAAAAAAAAAAAGACAAGAAGGAAGAATTTTGTTAGTTAAAGGAGAGGATACCCAGAATATATTGCTGTCTAAGAACGAGTTGGGAACCCAGTATATTTTGATTACCCAACTCTGTTTAAAGATTAACCTATTAATGGGGCGCCCGGGTGGCGCAGTCGGTTGAGCGTCCAACTTCAGCCAGGTCACGATCTCGCGGTCCGTGAGTTCGAGCCCCGCGTCAGGCTCTGGGCTGATGGCTCGGAGCCTGGAGCCTGTTTCCTATTCTGTGTCTCCCTCTCTCTCTGCCCCTCCCCCGTTCGTGCTCTGCCTCTCTCTGTCCCAAAAATAAATAAAAACGTTGAAAAAAAAAAATAAAAAAAAAAGATTAACCTATTACTAACTTTCTAGAAAACAAGTTGGAAGCAATAACATCCCAGGCCCTAAGCACTGGTTATGTCGAATGGGTGAGATTTTAGGACAAATTCGGCCTCTGTTTATGCGTCTGCGGTCGCGTCGACAGGAAACAGAGACCGAAAAGGCAGGTCTGTGCTAGCCTTCTCTGCTCGTGTTTGCCTCCTCCTCAGGTACATGTACTGGACAGACTGGGGAGAGACACCTCGAATCGAGCGGGCAGGCATGGATGGGAGCACGCGGAAGATCATCGTGGACTCGGACATTTACTGGCCCAACGGGCTGACCATCGACCTCGAGGAGCAGAAGCTCTACTGGGCCGACGCCAAGCTCAGCTTCATCCACCGCGCCAACCTGGACGGCTCCTTCCGGTGAGTGCCCGCCCGGTGGTGGGTCCCCACCTTCCCCGCGGCCCCCCAGCCACCGCCAGGGCCTCGGCCGGTCCGGGCCGGGCGCTGGCCGGTGACCCTTCTTAACTCAGACCCGTGGTCTCGTCTCTGAAACCCTGGGGCCTGAGGCGTTCGGGACTGTTGAGAACCTCACGCAGTAACAGAGCACACAGCACGCCCGTGGGGGGTCCGGGGTTGGGGGGCACCTGCCATCTCCCATGTGACTATGTTCACAACACGACACAGGATGCTCCTTCTCAGTAGGGTTGAAAGGCTATAACCAAGCCCACAGCCACACGCGGGTCTTGCCACAAAATGGGTGGCAAAACTCTTGCCGTGGTCAGAGTTTTTTGGATTTCAGAATCACAGAGAAGGGATCATGGCCCTGACCGCCTCAGGGTCCGACAGGGTTGTAAAGAGTTCGCCGTGCCCCCTTCCTCCTCGCCCCAAGTATGCATCCTGGGGTTTTCGTGTCCACCGCATTCCCTGGCCTCACCAGAGGGCCTTACGCATAACCGTTTCTCTGTAAAATGGGTTAAGTGAGTGAAATGTCAAGGATGTTTTACATGTCAGGTAATTGCTTTGAGAGCTTTCGGCCCCGTACCTCATTACGCTTCAGATGTAGGAACGGTGAAGGGCACTTTATTTACCGCCCAGACTGCCTTGCCAGCTCTGTGCCGAGTCTTGGGGATCCTCCTGGGAGGAGAGCCCTGTTCCTGCACGGTGGGACTCCCGAACCAGGAGGGGAGTACATGGGTGCCGGTGCCGTGGGCTGCAGTCACGTGGCTTAGGGAAGACTGTGCACACACAGGCAGGTAACAGCTCCCGCAGATTTGAGGATATCGGCAGGTTTGCCTCATTTTATTCAGGCGCGTGTGTTAGTTATCTATTCCTGTGTAACAAAATACCCCCGAACTGGGCCACCTGAATCAGCAAATGGATTTTTTGGGGGTGGGGAGGGGGATCAGGAATTAGGAGTGGCTTAGCTGGGTGGTTCTGGCTCAGAGTGTGTCCTGAGGTTATAGTCAAGCTCCTGGCTGGGGCTACAATCATCCGAAGGTGCGACTGAGGTCAGAGGCTCACTCTGATGGCTGTTGGCAGGAGGCCTCATTTCTCCCCTGACCTCTGCTGACTGTGCCCAGCTGGTTTAGAACGCTCTTTCCCATTGTTTCTGGGATCACAGACTGGCCTGGGGCCTGGCTTGAGACTTGGAGAGTGTGGCAGCCTGGGGAGCTGTGGTCCTTGGGGAGCTGAGTGATGATGGTCGTTGTGAAGGGAGAGTTAGAGGCTGGAAACGCTGCTGGCTGGGGTGCCTGGTTGAAGGATTATGACAGGGGACAGCAAGGATAGTGGTGGCATTTAAACCATGATAATGGTGGTGGTGATGGTGGTGGCGGTGATAGAGGTGATGATGGTGGTGGTGGTGGTGGTGATGATGATGGAGGTGATGATGATGATGGAGGTGATGGTGGTGATGGTGGTGATGATGGAGGTGATGATGGTGGTGGTGATGGAGGTGATGATGGTGATGATGATGGAAGTGATGATGGAGGTGATGGTGGTGATGATGGTGATGATGATGGAAGTGATGATGATGGAGGTGATGATGGTGATGATGGTGGTGATGGTGGTGGTGATGGTGGTGGTGAAGGTGATGGTGGTGGTGGTGGTGATGATGATAGAGGTGATGATGGTGATGATGGAAGTGATGATGGAGGTGATGGTGGTGATGATGGAGGTGATGATGGTGGTGATGGTGATGATGAAGGTGATGATGGTGGTGATGATGATGGTGATGATGATGGAAGTGATGATGGAGGTGATGGTGGTGATGATGGTGATGATGATGGAGGTGATGATGGTGATGATGGTGATGATGATGGTGATGATGATGGAAGTGGTGATGGAGGTGATGGTGGTGATGATGGTGATGATGATGGAGGTGGTGATGGTGATGATGGTGGTGATGATGGAGGTGATGATGGTGGTGGTGGTGGTGATGATGATAGAGATGATGATGGTGATGATGATGGAGGTGATGGTGATGATGGCGGTGATGATGGTGGTGATGATGATGGAGGTGATGGTGGTGATGATGATGGAGGTGGTGATGATGGTGGTGATGGTTGTGATGATGCTGATGGTGGTGGTGATAGTGATGGTTATGATGGTGTTGGTAGTGATGATAATGGTGATGATGGTGGTGATGGTGATGATGGTTATAGTGATGATGATGTTGGTGATGGTGATGATGGTGATGATGGTGGTGGTGATGCTGATGATGGTGGTGACGTGGTGACGGGGTGATGGTGGCTAACCCTTCCATAGCACTTGCTGTTTGCCAGGATATTTATCAGTTCGTTACCTGCTCACACCAACCCTATGAAGTGTTTGCAGGTATAATCCCCTATTATGATGTTGCACAGAGAGGTCTGTGAACTCACCCAAGGCCACACAGCTAGTCAGAGTCGAGAGAAGCCAGGCACTGTGACTCCAGGACTTACTCAGCCCTCCTCCTGCCTCACTGCCAGATTCTTCCAGCTCTGCAGGTGGCTGACACTCTATGAATGTGTCTAGGGCTGTCCCAGTAGGAGCATAATCTGCTGGTAAAGAGGGTAAGTGCTGGAGCCAGACGGACCTGCGTGGTCCCCTCTCAGCTGCGACCATGCCTGGGTCGCCTCACTGCTCAGAGTCTCAGGGCCTCGCATGTGAATGGGGGTAGTGATTGTACTTTCTAGAGGTGTCCATGGGGCCCGATACCACGGTGCACGTCAACTCATTGCATGGCGCCTGGACACCGTAAGCGCTCGATAGCGGCTGGTGTGCTCAGGGAGTTCGTGGATCCGGCAGGAGGTAGGGTGCTCACGGCTGGAGCTCCACCTGGAGAGGGGCGTCCTGAGAGGAGGGGCCAGGGTGGGTGAGGTGAGCTGAGGCCTGGCACCAGCTTCCTGTGGTGCCTTCAGCTGAGGCAGGGAGGAGGGACAGCCTGAGAAACGACACCTCTGGCTTTTCTGATCAAAAAATGACACGGGGCGCCCGGGTGGCTCAGTCGGTTAAGCATCTGACTCCTGACTCGGCTCAGGTCACCATCTCACGGTGATGAGATCGAGGCCCACGTGGGGCGCCACACGGAGCCTGCTTGGGATTCTCGCTCTCTCCCCCTCCCTCACCCTTGCGCTCACTCGCTCTCTCAAAACAAATAAACGTTACTTTAAAAAATGACAACATCACGAAGGGCAGTTAGGTGGTGCCTCAGAATGCGAACGTCGAGTGACCGTACGATCTCGCGATTCCTCGCGATTCCACTCCTGGGCATCTCCCCGAGAGCGTTGAAAATCGGTGCAGGAACAAAGACGTGCACGCGAATGTCCGTGGCAGTGGTGCGAACCATAGCCCAAAGGTGCGAACAGCCCAGATGTGCGGCCGCAGGTGGATAGACAAACAGAGTGTGACCCATCCGCACGCGGAATGCCGTCCAGACATGAGGAGCGGTGACGCACTAGCATGTGTGCAACACGGAGGGACCGTGCAAACCTGATACTAAAGGAAACAAAGCGAGTCACACAAGGCCACGCGTGGCATGATTTCATTTATGTGAAATGTCCAGGCTGCGCCAATCCTCGGAGACAGAAAGCAGACTGGTGGCCGCCGGGGGCCCCCGTGGAGGGGACGTGAGGGGGAACCGCTGAGGGGGCCCGGGGTTCTCCAGAGGAGCAGCGGGAATCTAGGGAAGTAGCTGGGGGCTGTAGTTGCGTAAGTAACATCGTGACTGTGTGCTGCATAGCACTGAACTGTTCACTCAGCAGACTGGTTACTTTTGTGTTACGTGAATGTCGCCTCAATAAGTCTATTTAAAAAGTGACATCGGGGGGCGCCTGGGTGGCGCAGTCGGTTAAGCGTCCGACTTCAGCCAGGTCACGATCTCGCGGTCCGTGAGTTCGAGCCCCGCGTCGGGCTCTGGGCTGATGGCTCAGAGCCCGGAGCCTGTTTCCGATTCTGTGTCTCCCTCTCTCTCTGCCCCTCCCCCGTTCATGCTCTGTCTCTCTCTGTCCCCAAAAAAAATAAATAAACGTTGAAAAAAAAAAATTAAAAAAAAAAAAAGTGACATCGGGGGCGCCTGGGTGGCTCAGTCGGTTGGGCGGCCGACTTCAGCTCAGGTCATGATCTCGTGGTCTGTGAGGGCTGTGAGTTTAAGCCCCGCGTCGGGCTCTGTGCTGACAGCATGGAGCCTGCTTGCGATTCTCTGTCTCCCTCTTTCTCTGCCCCTCCCCTGTGTGTGCTTCTCTCTCTCTCTCTCTCTCTCTCTCTCTCTCTCTCAAATAAATAAACATTAAAGGAGTGACATCAAGAAAACAAAACGGAGGCATCGTTGGGTCAGATTAGGGACGGTCATGAGCATGTGGCTTTCAGTTGCTCAGTAAAACCTTGTCAATGTTTCTCTGAGGTGCGGTGCCAGGGGCTCGGATGTGGTGGTGACCTGCCCCCTGCAGCCCTCCACGCCACCAGGGAGCCTATAGTCGAGGGAAAGTCATGAAACCAGATAAATACACACGCCACCAGGTGTAAAGTTAGAAATCCATAATATCGTTAAAAACGTGTTCTCGTTTGCTGGGCTTTATAAATACATAGAAGAAAGATGTTTTGTTTTGTTTTTTCCTTTTTAAAAAATTTTTTAATGTTTATCTTTGAGGCGGTGGGGAGGGAGGGAATGAGGGGAGGGGCAGAGAGAGGGGGGGACAGAGGATCCAAAGCAGG